TTTATTTACATCATTTTTAAATATTTAAAAATTAAAACAAGGTGTTAAAAAAAAGGTACCATTTCATTGTAATTCAAATTCAAGCTCGAAGTAAGTTTTTTTTAAAGTGCTTTACCTCCAGAAGGAAAGTAATGAAAAGCTATTTAAAAAAGGCATAATCGACTATGAGCGTTCGGAGAGAGAGAGAGAGAGAAATGGGGTTTAACGTCCACTCGACACAAACTAGGTCATTTCGGGACTAACATATGGTTCAATTTTATTTCCATAATTCGCTTGCGCGTAGGGGTCTTTAGCAGTGGGAGGACCCGGAGAAAACCCACGAGGTTGGACAGGCGACCCTACTCCTTGTCACGTACAACCGGGGATTCGAAACCACGGCAGTCGACTCAATGACAGACTTTATGATACAGCGAAGCGTTAAATTTTTTAAGGGAGACACATTTTTATAGAAAATTTTAATTTGTATATATACTGTTTTTGATATTTTATTTTTGAAATATTTGATATACACAAAATAATATTATATAATTTGAATAGTGCTAACTGTGATATTTGTTTTTTTTTTATGTATATTAGTATTTTGTGATTTCATTTAATGTGTCTCGTAAATATCACCATATGTTTGGCGCAATATAGCCCGGTTAGATTAATTAATCCATTCTGAACCGAGAATTTAGCGATTGAATTTTAGACCTAACCTCGATCATCATTACTAAAGTCGATACGATAAAAACATAGTCTCGAGTTGAACAGTAGATCTGATTCTAATCCAGTAAATATCGCAGGCTAGCGATGCCATCGAGAGTTAATTATGGTCTGGATAAGTTAATGTCTAATTAATAATTTAGATAACATTTCAGACCTAAAGAAAGACCTGCAATAGGCAGATTTAGCTCTTGCATAATGTATGTTTAAGTAAAATTCGTCTTGTTATCGCAATATTTACTTACTATATTTAAAGTATATTTAAACAAACTCTTGAATAGTTTAACAATATAAACCACTATATTATTATCTAACCATTCGGCCATTCACCCCCCCCCCCCGTACTGACAGAAATAGGCAGTTTATAGTTTACAAGAGTGTTTGCCGAAGATTTTTATGTCTTGGGAAATTAAAAGTGCATTTCTTAGTCGTTGTATAACCGGGACACCGCTGTTGGAAGGAAGTTGTGGTTAGTTGTACTGTATGTGCATTGCAATTTAGTTTCAAGTCCACATTTTGATTAAGTGCAAGTATCTTGGAAATATTAGATCTAAGTATTACCGTTGCCAGACATTACATCATTTATTTGCTCAACCGGAGCTATATTGTGAGATACTAAACTTTTTAAAAGAGACAAAATTTTATTATAAGTTTTAACTGTGTATATAAATGTATCCTATCTTCTTTCATTTTAATTGTTTATATTCATAAAGTATTTGATATTCATTTTTATACGCCCACATTGAAATGTGGACGTATATTGCCGTCGCCCCCGTCCGTCCGTCTGTCGGTCCGTCCGTCCGTCCGTCGGTCCGTCCGTCCACCGTCCACAATTTCTTGTGAACGCTCTAACGCCAAAAGTTATCATCATTATTTAAATTAGTGAAACGAAGAAGCCTATTGAATTTCAGCAATTTCCGTTTATTACGTCTAGAGTTATGGCCCTTGTTTCACTTTATTGAACCTTGTGAAGGCTCTAACGACAAAAGTTATCATTCGATCTTTGTGAAATTTATATGCATTATTTAGATTAATGAAACAAAGAAGCCTATTGAATTTCGGCAATTTCCGTTTATTACGTCTAAAGTTATGGCCCTTGTTTCACTTTATTGATCCTTGTGAACGCTCTGTCAAAAGTTATCCGATCTTTCTGAAATTTATATGCATTATTTAGATTGCTGAAACGAAGAAGCCTATTGAATTTCAGCAATTCCCGTTTATTACGTCTAGAGTTATGGCCCTTGTTTCACTTTATTGATCCTTGTGAACGCTCTAACGTCAAAAGTTATCATCTGATCTATCTGAAATTTATATGCATTATTTAGATTACTGAAACGAAGACGCCTATTGAATTTCGGCAATTTCCGTTTATTACGTCTAGAGTTATGGCCCTTGTTTCACTTTATTGATCCTTGAGAACGCTCTCACGTCAAAAGTTATCATCCGATCTTTCTGAAATGTATATGCATTATTTAGGTTACTGAAACGAAGAACCCTATTGAATTTCAGCAATTTCCGTTTATTATGTCTAGAGTTATGGCCCTTGTTTCACTTTATTGATTCTTGTGAACGCTCCAACGCCAAAAGTTATCATTCGATCTTTGTGAAATTTATATGCATTATTTAGATTAGTGAAACGGAGAAGTCTATTGACTTTCAGCAATTTCCGTTTATTACGTCTAGAGTTATGGCCCTTGTTTCACTTTATTGATCCTTGTGAACGCTCTAACATCAAAATTTATCATCCGATCTTTCTGAAATTTATATGCATTATTTAGGTTACTGAAACGAAGAAGCCTATTGACTTTCAGCAATTCCCGTTTATTACGTCTAGAGTTATGGCCCTTGTTTCACTTTATTGATCCTTGTGAACGCTCTAACATCAAAAGTTATCATCCGATCTTTCTGAAATTTATATGCATTATTTAGGTTACGGAAACGAAGAAGCCTATTGACTTTCAGCAATTCCCGTTTATTACGTCTAGAGTTATGGCCCTTGTTTCACTTTATTGATCCTTGTGAACGCTCTAACATCAAAAGTTATCATCCGATCTTTCTGAAATTTATATGCATTATTTAGGTTACTGAAACGAAGAAGCCTATTGAATTTCAGCAATTTACAATAATTACTTCTAGAGTTATTGCTCTTGTTTCACTCTGTTAAACCTTGTTAATGCTCAATTGATGATGTTATCATCCGAAATGTATGAAATTTATATGCATCATTTAAATTTGTGAAACAGGTCTATTGAATTTCAGCAATTTCCGTCAATAATTTCTAGAGTTATGGTGATTGTGAACGTTTGAATGACAAATGTGATCTGTAAGAAATTTATATTCATTATTTAAATTAGCAAAACGAAAAAGCCTGTCAAATTTCAACAAGTTGAGACCCTTGTTTCAGTTTGTAGAACCTTGTAAACCCTCAAACGACAAAATTTATAATCTCATCTGTATGGAACTGTAAGGCCCCCAATTACCTACAAAGGAATAAATATGCGACAACCCTTGACGACCGCCCGGACGATTTAGCTGCTGTGGGCGTATGTTTTGTTGCCTGGCAACCTATCTTTAATTTTATATATTATCTGTGATATTTGTTTTTATTTATGGATATAAATTTATTTCTGTGATTTCTTTTATTTTGTCTCGATTATTTTCACCATATGTTTGGCGCAATATAGCCCGGTTGGAGCTGACGTGCCATAAAACCACATTTCATTTCATTTCATTTAGTTTCAAGTCGTAATAGGGGTTATTAATAGTGAAATAGTTTACTAAATATTAGTAACCGAGGCTTGCCAGGACATTATTATATAAGATTTGGCTGTAATGACGCTACTGAGAAGAGCATCAATTGGTAGTAACCGAAGCTTGTCGGGGTATTTTAAAATTAGATTTTGCTATATGAACGCCAGTAACGTGCTGCTAAAGGAAAGGGATATATGGTGAGTGAATATCATGTACATAGGTATTTAACAGGGTTGGGCGTAACACACATCCCTGTCCAACCCCAATGTAACATTGTATTGGATTAAGAAGATAGGGTGGTTTCATAGAAGCCACGGTGGCTAAGTGAGTAAGACGCTGGTGGTTGTGAGTTCGCTCCCGGTGTGGGGGTCACGGTAGCTAAGTGGGTGAGACGCTGGCACGCTAGCCTGGGGGTTGGATCTTCTATACATCATTGGCCGAGAAAGTTCATCCAGATTTTCTGGCGTGATTCCCCACTTGTCACTGATGCATGATGGAGGGCCAGACAAGGACAGCTGTCTAGTCGTTCGGATTGGACGAACAAACCGAGGTCCCGTGTACACATTGGCGTGCACTTAAAGATCTCTCGACAGTTGGAATTTGATATAAGAGAAGGTCGTAGTGGTGCTGTGCGGGCAAAATTTCCCTCATAGCACACTGTATGGCGTATGCCCGTCTTTATTAGCCCAATTCGGAGCAGAACAGTAGGACGTTAAACCCGATTTCATTTCGCTTCCGGGATTTTCCGTCGTGGTTTCTCCTTGTCAGTTGCCTAGTTGTTCGGGTGGAGCGAAAAAAAGGTCCCATGCACTTAAGAGATCCTTTGGCAGTTGGAATTCGAGATACGTGTAGGACAAAAAATTGAGGTCCCGAGTACACATTGGAGTGCACGTAAAAGATCTCTTGGCAGTTGGAATTCGATATAAGTGTAGGCCGTACACAGATATAATTCTATTTTAATACGATGATCGTCATTTTGCATTTCATTTTCGCAAATAAATATAATTATACACTGAAAAAAAACTTGTGTTGAAACAACACAAACTTGTGTTAAATGTTGAAACAACACAAAACTTGTGTTAAAATTTACCAAACAACACAAACTTGTGTTGAAACTTGTGTGAAAATCTACACAATACTTGTGTCGAAACTTGTGTTGAAATTTCTGAAACTTGTGTCGAAATTTCTGAAACTTGTGTTGAAATTTCTGAAACTTGTGTTGAAATTTCTGAAACTTGTGTGGTTTCATAAAAACTTGTGTATAACCACCAACAAAAACTTGTGTTTTATTTTCCCTCAATTTAGCAATCTTTCCCATGCAGCCCCCCACCCCTTTTGCTCTGTTTAACCTGTAAAGTTTGATAAATGAGGTAACAATAATTTTATTTGTTAAATTATCATTTATTCATAAAATGATAGGAAAAAGTAAATTAACACCACCAAATCAAAACTAAATAGACATCATTTGAAATGTTAACAGAAAAACAGAGATTTAATTCTAATACTAATAAAAATTTTGTTATACTTTGCCCCCCTCCCCCCCACATCACAAAATACAAAATAGCTATTTAATTTTTTCTTTACCCGAAAACAAGAACTGAGAAAAGAAAGATCCCTACCCCATACCCCAAAAATATATAATTCAAATATATCTAAATTTAATAACATCCAAACCAAGCCCTAATTAGATTAATTATGCACTAAATTGAAATACTTTCAGAAACTGAAAAGTGCTACAAAGTCATATTACTAGTGATTTGTGAGGCATCTAGAAAAAACTAGCATACACAGAAAACTAACAAAAGAAAAATGCACTATTTTGCAGGAGTAATAAAATGATGTAGAACCTTTTCCTCAAACAAAATGAATATTTTGTACATAAAAGGAGCAAAGCATCAAGATTACAGGATTGAAAAATAAAAAAATATCAGAGAAAATCGCAAACATTAAATAATATGTACAAAATATATATAAATAATCACAAGTCAAAAGCAAGGAGGAGCCATTGTGGTTCAGTGAGTGCATTGGCCGAGAAATTTCAACTGGATTTTCCGACATAGTTCCCACACGTCAGTAGTGTAGGACATGGCAAGGGATAATTGGGTATAAGCCCAGAATTGAAACTACCCCCACTGCGTTTACTTTAAAGAACCCTTGACAATTGAATTATCTGACTCAATGACAGACCCTTCTGATCCAATATGCGTGTGTTAACCATTCGGCCCTCCTGGGTTCCCTTTAAACAACCCTTGACAGTTGAAATATTTGATATAAGAGTAGGTTGTAGGGCAGAATCACCATAATAACACAGAAAAGTAGGATATTAAACCCTATTTCATTTCATAAGCAAGGGAAAGTCACCTTAATGTAGGTCAAGTTTTTTTGTAATTCTGGGTATATTTGATCTACATTTGGTTTCTAGACTATGCCTATTAAATACTTTATGATTTCCGACCAAATTCTAAGTGATTTATATGTCACTTTACATTCTATATTATACATAAATTTCTGTAGAGAATTAAAATCTAATTGTGTTTGGGATGAATATTTAACAGTAAAAACAAAAAAAAATATTCAAAAATTGGGTCAAATGCATTCTTTTCCAGAATTATAAAATAAATTGATGCTTGGGATCTCTTGTTGTTGTCATACATCAAATAATCTTCCAGCCTAAAAAATAAAAAGTAGGCAATAAGAATACTTTCTTACTATTTATGGTTCACAATGTTTAAATAAACAATTTATTTTGCCACATCGAGACTGAGTCTCTATTTTGTTTCATCTTTGGGTAACACTTATTGTGTCTTGTCCAGTAACAGACCCAGGCAGATTATTATATTTTATTTCCATCGACAACAAATTGGATATTACCTATTAAAATCTATTTGAAAAGTAAAATATTGTCCATTTTTATACTGCTATTTACTGTAAAAATACACATAGGGTCTATCACAACTTGAAGAAAATCAATGGATGTGATTGTCAAAAATCAAGAATGCCAAGACTTGAATAGGAGAGTCCTAGGCATTGCCCCAAGAAGAATAACTAGATTACCAATCAAATGTATAGAACTAGTTGATGATTAAAAATACAAATATGTATGTTACTTACATTTTACCTGATTATCAAGCTCTGTGAGAAAAAGTTTCCATAATATGAATAGCCATTTCCAACTGTCTTGATCTTTCTGATGTAGTTAACTGAGAAAAAAAACATACTATGTTTTAGTTGACTTAAATCGATTCAATATTTAAATAGACGAAAGTTTTAATTTAATTAAATTGTATTGTAATGTTTTGGTTTGCTTTGTCACAGATGAGACAAAATGAAAAAAATGAAATGTAATGGGGTTTGGCGTCCTACTGTTCAGCTTCGACTGGGCTAATGAGGTTGGGCATATGCCATACAGTGTGCCACGAGAGAAATTTTGCCGGGTACCGTGACCCTAAGGCCTACTCTTGTATCAAATTCTAACTGCCAGGGGCTCTTTTACATGCACGCCAATGTGTACACGGTACCACGTTTTTTTGTTCAATCTGAACGACTAGACAGCTGTCCTTGTAAGGCCCCCCGTACTGCATCGTCTTACTGCAAACCCGCGACCTTAAAATATGCAAACCAGTGTCTAACCCACTTGGTCACCATGGGTCCCCACAGATGAGATAGTCATATCTACATGTATCTGGACATAAGTAAGATTCTGTCTGTGCACATACATGTACGTGTACAGTTTTACTATACTAAACTGAATTTTAAATTTCAAAATATTAAAATGAAATCGAGGTTTATGTCACATCAGCTCCAACCGGGCTATATTGTGCCAAACACATTATGGTGAGATTCTAAAATACCACAACAACAATCTGTTCTATTAGAATTGAACACTCACCCTCCAAAAACACCTATGAGAAATCATAGGTGCTCAAATCACCATTTCTTCAGCTCTTTCTTTTCCCATATTTGGGTTTTTTGACTTATTTTATTATATGATCTTTGATTTGCTATGGCATCTAATATGGAAACTGAAAAATATGAATATGTGACATGTAATTAACTGTTTAAGACACCTTACCATATACAAACTGTGTGATATCTAAAACCATTTTAATCCCGAAGATCTTACCTAAACCGTGAAAATCTGTTTTAATAACCCTTGTTTGTCATGTGACTGGAGAGTCAAAGTAATTAAAAGAGAGCCATGTGGCTTAGTGTGTAAGGCACTGGCTTGCTACCCGGGAGGTTGCGGGTTCGCTCCCAGTGTTGACAGAGAAAGCTTATTTGGATTTTTCAGCATGGATTCCCTGTCTAGTCGTCATGGTGGCTAAGTGGGTAAGACACTGGCTCGCTAGCCTGGAGGTCGGGTGTTCGATCCCTGCATTGGCCGAGAAAGTTCACCCAGATTTTCTGGCGTGGTTTCCTCTGGTTAGTGATGCAGAACGGAGGGCCTGACAAGGACAGCTGTCTAGTCATTCAGATTGAACAAAAAAACGTGGTCTCGTGTACACATTGGTGTGCATGTAAAAGATCCCCTGGCAGTTAGAATTTGATACAAAAGAAGGCCTTAAGGTCACGGTACCCGGCAAAATTTCTCTCGTAGCACACTGTATGGCATATGCCCAACTTCATTAGCCCAGTCCTCCGTACTGCAATGTCTTACTGCAAACCCGCGACCTTAAAATATGCGAGCCAGTGTCTAACCCACTTGGCCACCGTGGTCCCCCACAGATGAGACAGTCATATCTACATGTATCTGGACATAGGTAAGATTCTGTTTGTGCACATACATGTACGTGTACAAATTTACTATACTAAACTGAATTTTAAATTTCAAAACAATAAAATGAAATGGAGGTTTATGTCACATCAGCTCCAACCAGGATATATTGTGCCAAACACATTATGGTGAGATTCTAAAATACCATAACAACAATCTTTTCTATTAGAATTGAACACTCACCCTCCAAAAACACCTATGAGAAAGCATAGGTGCTCAAATCGCCATTTCTTCAGCTCTTTCTTTTTCCATATTTGGGTTTTTTGACTTATTTTATTATATGATCTTTGATTTGCTATGGCATCTACATGTTATATGGAAACTGAAAAATATGAATATGTGACATGTAATAAACTGTTTAAGATATCTTACCATATACAAACTGTGTGATATCTAAAACCATTTGAATCCGGAAGATCTTACCCAAGCCTTGAAAATCTGTTTTAATAACCCTTGTTTGTCATGTGACTGGACTGTCACAGTAATTAGAAGAGAGTCATGTGGCTTAGTGTGTAAGGCACTGGCTTGCTACCCGGGAGGTTGCGGGTTCGCTCCCAGTGTTGACCGAGAAAGCTCATTTGAATTTTTCAGCATGGATTCCATGCCTAGTCGTCATGGTGGCTAAGTGGGTAAGACGCTGGCTCGCTAGCCTGGAGGTCGGGTGTTCGATCCCTGCATTGGCCGAGAAAGTTCACCCAGATTTCCCGGCGTGGTTCCCCCTTGTCAGTGATGCAGGACGGAGGGCCTGACAAGGACAGCTGTCTAGTCATTCGGATGAAATGAAAAAACGAGGTCCCGTGTACACGTTGGCGTGCACGTAAAAGATTCCTTGACAGTTGGAATTCGATACACCGCAGTGCCGCTGTCCGGGCAAAATTTCCCTCATAGCACACTGTGTGGTGTATGCCTGTCTTCATTAACCCAGTTCGGAGCAAAACAGTAGGACGTTAAACCCCATTTCATTTCATTTCTAGTCGTTTCAATGGAACACAAAACCTGAGGTCCCATTGGCGTGCATTTAAGCCGATAGTATGGTAGTTGGAATTTGTTGGCTGTAGCACCCGTGTCACAGTTCGACTGCTAGTTTGCGATACCCACTCGATATGAATGAGTGGTGATTGGCTAATGAATTCTAAAATCAGACGAATGCTTCGGCGAAGCGGACACACCACTCAAATACAATTCGGCCAAATATATCAAACATGTTGGATTCGGGCGTATGTCAGTGGATAAACTAGGTGAAGTTTAGCGCCAATTGATTCAGCCAAATCCTTTGGCTAGTTTATCCAGCACTGACGATTTAAGTTTGTACTTTCTTTATATGCAAATATCACATTTGAAAGAGGCTGTAAGCCTACTTTCTTTATATGCAAATATGTTATTTTAAATAGGCCATTTTTATGTGATTCCCCACTTGAATGTGACTAGGAATAGGGTCGCCTGTCCAGCCTTGTGGGTTTTCTCCGGGTCCTCCGGTTTCCTCCCTTTGCTAAATACCCCTAGGGTGTATTCGAAACAGTGTTCCGGTGCAGAGAACGGACGGAGAATGGGTTCTTGTCGGACTTGAGCAGTCTGGAATGCGTTCATGAACACATTCCCGTTCTCAAATCCCACACTACCTCATAGCTGGTGTGAGGGAGAACAAACATGGTCGACGTATAGATAACTGCTAAGAAAACAGCATCATGGGTGCATTTATTAATTTAAAAGTTTAATACCGTTCGAAAATTGGATGTAGTATGTGGCCAGTATAACATCAAGTAAGTTAGGTTGCCAGGCAACGAAACATATGCCCACAGCAGTTTAATCGTTTGCGCAGTCAACAGGGATTGTCGCATATTCATTCTTTTGTAGGTAATGTGGCCATTCACAAGAAAATTTCATACAAGATTATAATTTTCGTCGTTTGTGGGTTTACAAAGGTCGACGCATCGATAACTGCTGAGAAAACAGCATCATGGGTGCATTTATTAATTTAGAAGTTTAATACCGTTCGAAAATTGGATGTAGTATGTGGCCAGTATAACATCAAGTAAGTTAGGTTGCCAGGCAACGAAACATATGCCCACAGCAGTTTAATCGTTTGCGCAGTCAACAGGGATTGTCGCATATTCATTCTTTTGTAGGTAATGTGGGCATTTACAAGAAAGATTCATACAAGATTATAATTTTCGTCGTTTGTGGGTTTACAAAGGTTCTACAAACTGAAACAAGGGCCTTAATTGTTGAAATTTGACAGATTTTTTTGTTTTGTGTTTTACTAATTTAAATAATCCATACAATTTTCATACAAATCGGATGATAATTTTGTTGTTCGTGCGTTCACAAGGTTCGAAAAAGTGAAACAAGGGCCACAACTCTAGACATAATTCACAGAAATCGCAGAAATTTAATAGACGTCTTCGTTTCACTAATTTAAAAGATTCAAATGAATTTTACAAAGTGAAACAAGGGCCATAACTCCAGAAGAAACTAACAGAAATTATTGAAATTAAATAGGATTCATCTCATTAAAATAAACAACATATCAATTTCAAAATAATCAGTTCTGTAGACGACGGACAAACCTACGGACGAGGGCGTATCAAAAGGTGATGTAATCGTCATCCAAAGAATTGAAAAGGAGTAAAACGGTGTCATAATTTATCAAAATTATGCTTAATAGCGAAGTAAATACTAAACAAGTTATCTTAACAGATTGTATAAATTTAATTCATCTTGTTACCATGGATACCGTTCTCTCATGTTCGAGACTCATGAAAGTGTTTTCATGTTCTTCAGCCGTTCTCGAACCTGCGCAAACACTGTTTCTAATACACTCCTACGGTACGCGCAAGCAAATCATTCAAATAAAATTGAACAATATTAGCCTCGAAATTACCTAGCGCCAGTAAGTATAAAGGATCTATCCGACAAACACTAACAACAACTCTAGGTTGATTACATGTCATTTGGGACTCGCGTCATTTGGGACTCAAAAAAATATGACCACGACATTTGGGACTCCGGTATACGACGTTTGGGACTTTGGTATACGTCATTTGGGACTCGGGTTAACGACGTTTGGGACTCGGGATAATTTATTAGAAATAGGCCAATTCAAACAAAACACGAAAGAAAATATTTATTAACATGAAACACGTGGTTAGTAAAAGGCTCAACCAAACGATAAAACATTAGTTGCACTTACGGTTCTTTGATAATCATCGTTTCTCATAAAAGTTTTATATTTATTTAAAACGAATAATATGCTGATGAATTTATTTGAAAATGACCTACACAAAAAACAAAATAAATATTTACACAACATGCAATCTTTTTTTTACAAGGCCCTAGAAATTGTTAACGATAATCCGTGAGCTGCACGTTGACATGCTTGTCGTAGATGGCAATACCAATTGATAAATTAGTGCGTACAAGGCAAAGTTTTTTTGTGGAAAATATAAGAAATGGCAACGATCAAAGCGGGATAATTAAAGCTGATTAACTGATAATCCCAATGTTATTACAGTATGTTCAAAGAAACCTAACGGTTCTTTGGTGGATGAGGAAAAACGTGAGTTGTCAATCATCGAGAATGGCGGCCGTGTGTTGATTGCAGTTATACCGTTTCACGAAAAAACATTAGCAGTGGTCGGTCAATCAAGCTCGTTTACTATTTATAACGCAAATTTTTCGTTTCGGTTAAAACAAAATATACGTCCATTTTAATTGGCCGAAGGATGTGTGACTAATAGAAATATGGCGGGCGGACAAACTGACCAAACAGTATATTTCGAGGTATTTGAGGTAAGCTAATTTAATATTATATCATAACTGCATGTGCATACTTGTGTTTCTGTGTGATTAAATATTCAAAAAATCATTCTTAGGATACAGCCTCGACACCAGTCAGCCCTGAATTGCAATGTTTGTTTTGTGTTCTGGGCGCCATTTTGAAAAAAACTGACATGACCTATATAATACAATCCAGCGATAGTGCAGTCAATTCCCTTTAAAAGGGAATCCGAATTTGTTAATTTTCTGCAATATCACTTCGGTGGTAGCGGACGTTAAATAAAGCTATTTCACGTACAAAGACCTACAATAAAATCCAGGTGAATTGGGAAAAATATTCATGTATTTTCTTGATGAAGAGTAGCTATTTCAATTTGTAAATGCCCAGTCATCTTAGACAAATAATAATTCCAACTTCAAATCAGTTGTATTTATTCAAATCATACTATGAATAATTGTATTTTTCCACTTGCTTAATAATAAAAACTTGACTTTTATTATTTTATTTCTTCAGGCCAAGAACATGGAAAATTGGTAATTGCCTTGTATCACTGCTAACTATAAGGCACAGGGAGCCTTGGGCAGAAATGATAATAATATGGTTCTCAGATATGTTACTGTGTACAGACTGAACAAAAAATATATATACACTTGCTATTACATGTACATTATATCATTGGCAATAATAAGATCCAATTTTAGTTTTTAGTTAACCACTAATAGATGAAAATAAATCATAAAATGTATTCAGCTCGACGTAAGACTTAAATAAATAGATACAGTTGGTTTAACTTGAATAGAAGTTTTAATTATCTATGCTGCATATATCACCTTGCAGCTGAATCACATTACATATCTTTTTAGTTGATGTTCATATCGTCTTACGTATTTGCCAACATCAATGTGACCTTGTTCTATGTCACATTAGCCTATTCACACTTGTTACCACGAATGTACTCACCACATCCTCGTATAGTTATGAATTTATTGTTTCACTTGACTAAAGAAACATTTTGTAGGAATGTATGCTTTTATAGATTGGACACTTGTTTGCAATATCATTGTCGGTGGAAACTGGCACTATACCTAAAGAATGACTGAACAAATAGCGGAGACGGGGTTTCAGCCGGCTGATTTAAATTATTTCTTTAAATACAGTAAAGCTTGAAATATGTCAGTTGTCCCTCTTAAGAATGTTTTTGTAAATAAGTTTTTATTGTAGTTTCCCTGGCGTATTCCCAATAAGCGTTAGAAACAAAGATATACACCCTTAATCCCGGTGCCGATAAATGTTGGGTTGTGTGGAACATGCTAACAAATCTCAGGTACGATATATGTTTGATTCTGGTTGAGAACAGCATGAGAGCAACATGATTGTTTTCATTGGAGATGAGACGCAAATATTCAAAGGGGTCAGACAAACTCTAAACCAACTGCGTTCCCTTCACTGAGTCCCTTCAAAGGAGGCCCTGTCTGTCTACCTGTGGAATAACATGCATTTGTATCTGTTAAATTTGTGTGGTAGACAGATTGATATTATTTATATAACGTCTTACCCCAAACAAATTGCAAAAGAAACCATGAAGTTTCTGAGAGCGATATTTCGTAATTAGTGTGCTTTAATGGTGGGAGAATAAATAATTAAATTTTTCAAACACAAACTGGTCATATATAAAATAGCATTTTCTGACAAGACCAGCGATAATCTCGTAAGATATGACTTTTACTATGTCTATTAAATGGTTTTCGACGTCTCTTCAAGGTCACCGTCTTGCGCCAAAGTCGTGAAACGCACCGTCGGGGGATTTGTTGGGGCCTGTCTCCCCCAGAAAAATTTCTAGAAATTTCAAGTCGGTCTTGCCTGGCCGTGAATACGGCAACCTGAAAGTGGTCGATTTTAATGTAGACATCTGAACTCCAATCAACAAATCAATCAACCAGGCTGTTGTCGTTGCATTCACATGACACCAGACGTGTCACCGATGAAACAAATATGCCTGAAACAAATGTCGCTGTTAGTGCGACCCATTTGTGACAATTTCAAGGTCCCAAATAATAGTCCTTTTTTACTATTAATAGTAATTCAATCAGTAAGTGCTATTTACCTTATAATAGTCGTCTTGGCTTTTACCCGACATTACACAAAACACCAATGGTAACTGTCGGGTGGTCTCTCCAGTCTTAATGAAGGCGTGTATGGAAAACAGCTGAGACCATGGCTTGTTCACCACCCGAAAAGTTGCATCCATATACCAAGTTTTTGCGCGTGCGAGTAGTTGCATCTGTCTATCAGTACAAAAAATGTGATGGCGCCTTTCCCCAACTTTTACTCTTTTTTGATAAAATCCCGGTGCACTATGATCGATGAAATCTTCGTCAAGCTAAAACAAAAAATAAATAAAAAAGTACATTTAAGTACATGTTAATAAATAAATAAGATTGTACATTTAATTCCATGTTAATAAATTCTTATATACATGGGTATTTAATTGCATGAGTACTTACGCTTGACGACACGTCAGTGGGATCTTTTGGTCGCAGAGTCTGTCGGGTTCTTTATAGCGACCTTACAAGTGCTGCAATGAATGGTCTGCTATGAATGGGTTCTTCTGCAGAACCGACACTGGATAAAACTCTCTCCGCCATTGAGGAACATGCCTTGGTAAAAACATTTCCTTTGGCTTCATGCTTTGCCTGTAATGATAAGATAAAACATATTAAACTACAAATATATTATTGGTTTATTTATATTTTATTTATTTATTTATATATTAAATTCATTTATTATTATAGAGTTAACTAGGTTAACTAGAGTTAATTATGCAGAATTAATATAACACAACATACACAGATGGCAATAGAATGAGACAGTGTTCAGAAAAAGGGCGGAAGAAGACTACCTGTCCTACTTGATTCTAGGACATATATATAGCATGGACCTACTTGATTCGACCAATTTAATACAAGGAAATGAATGGCATAGTTTGTGTCAAGTGAATTTAGTGAACTTTAAACCCCATTTACTCGCCCTCTCTCTACAGAGATAAATACTTTTCGTGTTACATACAATAACAATTATTGGCCATTATTAAAAAAATATATTAAAAGGAAATGAAATTCTGTTACCTGTTTTTCTTTGTATAGTACATGCTAACATCAATGACTGGAAAAAAAAAACGAAACTGTAGAGAAACTACTGAATCATTGAAAGTCTAATATTAGGCCTACACATTGATGACATTGATATAAAAAAAAAGGCTGATTTGTTTGTTGTTTTTTTCTTTTACAGAAATAAGATTACATTTCAACTAAACAACTAACACAAAAGTTAGTATCTAGCTATAGTCCATGTCTGGATATACATTTCTCCTTTTGCCCGAACGTCTATAAAAATCAAAGATGGCGGCCAATAATTGCAACCGGGTATTACTATAAAATCAAAACAGATTCTTACCTGCTGGTCCTAGTCGGGGGTTTCTTGCAATTATAAGTATTTGAACAACGGTGTAGCGCCGATTAGCTAATAATAATTAAGCACGATTTCAGAAAAATTAAGACAGATTCATTAGATTGCTGAATTAGCGGAACACTTTTAGAACACATCAAAAAAAATTTCTTTGTGGCGCCATTATATAAATAGACTTCCGGTGCAGTCAGTGGCAGTAGTTCTAAATCTGACTGTTTTAAACGAAACGAATTATTATATACATAGAAGCAATATATATACATGCTAAATTAAATACACAGTTTTATTTTTTGTAAAAATTTACAAACCTGCGGTCTGGTATTCTATGTGACCATTATAATTTTTTTTAAAATATCACGGCTAAAGCACTCTGTTGATGCTAACTTCACTACATCTATCTAACTGAATGTCGCTGATATAATATCAAAGAAAGAATTTGTCGCAATGACTAAAGTATAGATACTTCTTCTTAGTTAGTTGTATTTTACGTCCGCTTCCACCGAAGTGATATCGCAGACAAAAAGTATAGATAACTTGGAGAACCATTATATCAATAAGTCGATTATGAGATACACGTGGATGATCAATTAAATTTGATTGGTTACTTTTCAGTTAACCAATACTGTCCAATTTCGATTACATCAACCAATTACATTATTTAGAGTTTTACTCATTTTTTTTGTTCATTGTACATTGAATCAATTTTCGAAAACACCAGGGTGCTGAAAATCACATGTACACTATATATTCATTTGATCTATCAGTTTATTGGGTCAATAAAAAAAGACAGACATTTTAACTTTACAGACAACTTAACATCAATTAACATTCAAGTCTGTCTGGCAATTGTCTGATTAATTGGTACTCACACCCTTCCAGTGAAGAACAGCATGTGATTTTCGAGATGTGAATTAAGCCCTTTATTACTTTTCTTAAAACTTGACGACTCCCGAATTCAGACTTTGTATGGAGTTTTTTTTTAAAAAGAAAACAAATCTTGGAAGGTACACATTACTTGTGTTAATGATATGAAAAAAACACAAGATTTTATAAATCGACACAAGTTTGTGTTAATGCAATGCAAAACAACACATAACTTGTGTAGATTAGTTTTAACACAAGTACTTGTGTTGAGATCCAACACAAGTGTTTTTTCAGTGATATATATTAAAGGACAATACCAGTCAGCCATTATTACATATTTGACAGAACTGGTTAAACACATTCCAAATATAATTTTAACACAGGTCATTTTTGGCGTTACTTCCGGTTTCTTCAAATTTTCGTCACGCATCTATCGTAGCAATGATCTCTGTGTTAAAATTATATTTTGAATGTGTTTAACCAATTCTATCACATAATGTAACAATAGCTGACACCAATATTATCCTTTAATACTATTTCGAATTACGACCTCATTTTATCATATATATTAGATGCTATTCAAACATATCATGATATATAGCTATAATAAGTAAACAGGAGAAAGATTAAAGGCTCGCTCATTAGGTATAATAAGTAAACACGAGAGATTAAAGGCCCACTCATTCTCAAGTTATATATTATATACCTAATCTACCGTAAAACTTAACAAAAATACTTTTCGATTTTGTTTTGCGACCAGCTATAGTATCGTGATGTCAAAGAGTTATATTCTTACTGCAAAGTATCTGTCACTTTCTCCGTGCGAGCTATGGAGAGAGAAGAAGGGGGTGTTAACGTCAACTCGACACAAACTAGGTCATATCGGGACTAACACATGGTTCAATTTTATTTCAATAATTCGCTTGTGCATAGGGATCTTTCGCAGTGGGAGGACCCGGAGAAAACCTACGAGGTTGGACAGGCGGGGAATCGAAACCAAGCCACTTGACTGGATGGACGACCTTATAAATTAAATCGTACGGATTGAACCATTCACCCAACCCCACGGCCTTTAATGTATTAACAACTGAAGAGCACCGCTGTAAACATTACTTGTCATCGTTATTAAAAAGAATAATTTATTGAAGTGTATTTTTATCTTGGGTGTTCTGTTGTAAGACTCGTGATAATGTCTATACAGGACGTTAATCCTGCGCCAATCCATTTAATTACTTCAGAAACAAAGTGTTTATTTATTTAGCCTCCGTGGATTTTTGGTGTTGTAACATTTTAAGTTTTATGTTTTAAGGTACCTCGGAACCAGTGAGTGTGTTGTCTTCTATCGTTTATAGGTTACCAGTGTGGCCGTGACAGGGCTTCCTCTACCAGTGTAGCCGAGACAGAGCTTCTTCTATCGTGTACCAGTGTAGCGGAGTCAGGGGTTCGTCTATCGTGTATAGTTGTACCAGTGTAGCGGAGACGGGGGTTCTTCTATAAAAATAAAATAAAACCAAGTACGAACAATCCAAACCATAAGACAGAACTCGAAGTCCTAAAAAACGTTATAGGCAAAATAGTGTATTAAAGCAAAATAGTGTAATCAGCAAATGGACTGCTCCTCGTGTACAAAATACATGACAAACAGTGATAACAGGTGTCCGGAAGAGTAAGCTTATCCTGGCGTATATAGGTGTACCGGTGTAGCCGAGACGGGTTCGTCAATCGTATATATAGGTGGGTGTACCGGTGTAGCCGAGACGGGTTCGTCTATCGTATATATAGGTGGGTGTACCAGTGTAGCGGAGACGGGGTTTCTTCTGTCGTATATAGGTGTACGAGTGTAGCCGAAACGGGTTTTTTTCTGCCGTATATAGGTGTACTAGGTTTAGCTGAAGTTTAAGTTTTAGGGACCCGTGAGTATATCTGGTAGCTGGGAAAAGATATATTCAATCGTGTAAAGGAGGCGTACCAGCGTAGTCAGGAGTCAAAATGCTGTTCAAAGGATGCTTGTGCTTCTTCGGGCTCATCTCCTTGAGCTCATGTCAGATTTTCTCACGAACACAAACACAAGAAATAGAATATTTTGTTACTGGTGTTATGGAATGTGTGAGGGTACCAGGTTTGACGTTAGCCGTTGTTAAGGGCAACGAGACTTGGAATAAAGGCTTTGGCTATGCCGATGTTGAGAACAAAAGGCCTGTTAATACGTCAACGTTGTTTGGAATAGGCTCCATAACAAAAGCATTTACCTCCATGCTGTTATCAATGCATCTTGAAGAGAAGCCAGATCAGTAAGTAAAATTGAAGTGAGGTTTAACGTCCTACTTTTCTGCTCTAGAGCCGGCAGTTGACATGTAGTGTGATATGATTGATATTTTGCCCTGACAGCGACGCTACGGCCTACTCTTTCAGATTCAAAATGCCATGGGTTCTTGCACGTGTACTCTAACGTGTACACGGTACCTCGGTTTTTCATCTTATCCGAACGACTGAACGCTGGTCTTCCCAGGCACTTTCGTATTTAATAATTCAACTGTCAAAGGATTTTGAGCCGGGCAAAGAGACAAAAATTAATATTAATGTCAATGCGAAAATCGTTGGTGGTCCCTTCCAATTTGGCGGGAGGGGGGGGGCGAATGTTTAGCGCGTGCGCGTTGTATCATACGGTCTGTCGTTGAGTCAAATGGCGTGGTTTCCATTCCTCAGGCGTACGTGACAAGGAGTAGGCTCGCCTGTCCAACCTCGTGGGTTTTCTCCGGGTCCTACGGTTTCCTCCCACTGCTAATGACCCCTATGCACAAGCGAATTATTGAAATAAAATTGGGCCATATGTTGGTCTTGAAATGACCTAGTTTGTGTCGAGTGACATTGCCTACCCCCCCCCCCCTCTCCCTCTCTCTCTCTCTCTCTCTCTCTCTCTATCCCTCTATCCCCTTCCAATTATATTCCAATACTAAAAATCACACTTCCCCATAATTCAACAGACCCATAATACGGGGTCTCTCTCTCTCTCTCTCTCTCTCTCTCATATATGACTGATATTGGTGTATATTTATCAGGTATAATTGGACAAGTAAACTAAGAGATGTGTTGGGTGAGGAGTTTAAAATGGTTGATGAAATACGAAGTAGCGAGACGATGCTAAGAGATATACTGGCTCATAGAACTGGATTAACTACCGGGGATATTGGTTTAATTGCTGGCTATCCTACTGTATTTACAAGAAAGGAAATGGTGAAGTAAGTTCTTGTCGAGATGCATCTTCAACTTGTTCCTGTAATGCACGAGTGCGGGGTTAGATGGCCGAATGGTTAGCACGTGTGCGTTTTATCATAAGGTCTGTCATTGAGTCAACTGGCGTGGATTCAATTCCTCGGAAATGAAATGAAATGGGGTTTAACGTCCTACTGTTCTGCTCCTATACTGGGCTAATGCAGACGGACATACGCCATAGTGTGCTATGAGGAAAATTTTGCCCCGACAGCGGCACTACGGCCTAAACTTATATCGAATTCCAACTGTCAAGGTATCTTTTACGTGCACGACAATGTGTACACGGGACTTCGGTTTTTCGTCCCATCCGAACGACTAGACAGCAGTTCTTGTCAAGCCCTCTTTCCTGCATCACTGACAAGGGAAAACCACGCCGGAAAATCTGGATGAAATTTCTCGGCCAATGCAGAGATCGAACACCCGACCTCAAGGCTAGCGAGCCAGAGTCTTACCCACTTAGTCACCGTGATCCCCTCGATTCCCCGGTAATATGTGACAAGGAGTAGGGTCGCTTGTTCAACCTCGTCGGTTTCTACGGGTCCTCCGGTTTCCCCCCACTGCTAAAGACCCCTTCGTGCAAGCGAAATTATTGAAATAAAATTGAACCACATGTTTGTGTCGAGTGGACGTTAAACCCCATTTCTCTCTCCCGTAATGCACAAGTAAAATTTAAAAACATAGGTAACAATATTCCACTGAATTAAATGAAATGAAATGGGGTTTAACGTCCTACTTGTCTGCCCCGATTGGGCTGATGAAAGAAGGCGTCAAGTTCGAACACAGCATTACGATGATTCATCGACTTGAGCAGTCTTTGCTGCTACACGAAGAAAGGGGTTATTCTTAAAAATGGTTACGTTATAACATACATTACGTCTATGTATGACGCCTATGTATGAAATACTCAAATTGTCTTGTCAAAACGTCACCTGATCTCCCTAACCCCTACGGCCTGTTCCTTTTTCGAATTCCAACTGCGGACACGCCAATGTGAACTCGTCTCATCTCCCTTGGAAACCTTTCGGCCAATACCGAGAGCAACCTCGAAACCTTCTGGTAAGTAAAGCAACGTCTTACGCACCGAGCCATCGTAGCTCCACTTCATCCTTAAAAATTGACTGTATGCTTTAGCTATTTTATCTAGCAATAGTAATATTTAACATAAATTTCCACTCTGGTGAGAGGGAGAGAGAGAGAGAGAGAGAGAGAGAGAGAGAGAGGCCCACTCGACAAAAACTAGGTCATTTCGGGACTAGCATATGGTTCAATTTTATTTCAATAATTCACCTAGCAGTGGGAGGAAATCAGAGAACCCGGAAAAAAAACACGAGGTTGGCCAAATGACCCTACTCCTTGCCACGTATACAAGCGGGGAATCGATGACAGACCGTGTGATGAAACGCCACTCGTTAACCATTCGGCAACCAACCCCCTATATGTTTTAACTATTTCATCTAGCAATATTGGTGATTATTTTAACATAATTTTCCTGTATAAATAATTTTATTTATGACCGCTGGCAACGGTCTAGGGATCTTGCAGGCACAAACAAACTCCATCACATAAAGCCTCTCCTTGGAGAATGGCCAAGCTCCTACAGGTCTAACAGGAGAGATGAAGTTGTTTTGTGTCGCTCTCGCATTGGTCATACTTTTTTATCTCATATTTTCATTTTGAAGCGAGAGCCTCAACCGGAATGTGTTCACTGTCATGTTCCTTTGACAGTGAGACACATCTTAATTGAGTGCAAACATCTCAAGTACATTAGATCTAAATACTACCGTTGCCAGTCAGTACGTCAGCTATTTGCTCAACCGGAGCTATATGATAAAGTGCTAACATTTTTAAAAGAGACAAACTTTTATTCTCAATTTTAATTGTATATATTTAATCATGTATATCGTTTTAAATATTTATATGTGTAAAAGATTTGTTATATTTATTTTTAATTATATATTTTCTGTGATATTTGTTTTTATTTACATATATAAATTCAATTATGTGATATTGTTTTAATTTGTCTCGTTAGATTCACCATATGTTTGGCGCAATATAGCCCGGTTGGAGCTGACGTGCCATTAAACAACATTTCATTTCATTTCATTTTAACATAATTTTCCATTGCAGGAGATTACAATATCTGGGTGCACTGAAGCCATTCCGTGATACCTTCGTTTATAATAATTGGATGTATGCTTTAGCTGGTTATATCGTGGAGGTTCTATCAGGTAACACGCCTTTAGCTGGTTCTATCAGGTAACACGCCTTTAGTGGGGTTATATCGTGGAGGCTCTTATCAGGTAACACGCCTTTAGCAGGTTATATCGTGGAGGTTCCATCAGGTAACACGCCTTTAGCTAGTTATATCGTAGAGGTTCTATCAGGTAACACACCTTTAGCAGATCATATCCGTAACAACCGGACAATGGAAACCCCGCCAGTTGACTCAATGACAGACCTTATGATACAACGCGCTAACCATTCGGCCATTCAACCACACTGGACAACACTAAGGCGGCGGGCTTATTACATAACGTGCAGCATTGGTCAACGAAATATCAATTCGTAGATACTGAACGGAATCGAACCATTTTTGGACTGATATTCCTATTAGAGATTCATCATTCACACAATATTGTAGCTTGAAAGGGATTCCTGTAGTGATACAATGACGCATCGAGACTTTAAGCACATTTGGATTGAGTGAAAGCATCTCAAGGATGTTGTATCACATTTGTACTGTTGCAAGTCATTAAACCAATTATTTGACTAACCGGGTCTATATTGTAAGATATTAGATATTTTAAAAGAAACGAGGTTTTGTTATAAATTTTAATTGTACATGAAGATCATTTTCAGTTTTTATTTTCAAATAACCTGTGGTATTTATTTTTTTTTATATGCATATCAATATTTTTGTTTTTTTTTATATGATTTAGCCTGCATCACCTTCACGGCATGTTTGGCGCAATAGAACCTGGTTGGAGCTGACGTGCCACAAGACTCCGTTTCATTTCTTCCATTTCAGGCAATACGTGGGAAGACGAACTAAGGGCGAGAATCTTGGATCCTCTGGAGATGTTAGATACGAGAATAATTGATATAGATATCAATGTTACTGATGACAAGATGGCCAAACCTTATGCAATGGTTGACGACGAGGTCATACCGTCTCCGCCAGAAATATATACGTATGTTGACACTCTACATCAATACTTTTTTTATATTACCAGAAGTGATATCGGACTTTTCTAGTCTATAGGGGGCGAAAATAAAAAGGGGGTCAACGGTATTGAAATGTGGTTTAACGTCCTACTTTTCTGAGCTGATTGGATAACTGAAGACAGGCATACAACATGCAGTGTGCTATGAATGACTTTTTACGTGTTATGAGGCCTTTCTAATAGTTATTATACCAGTGTTAATTATATGTTAATTCGATTGAATCGAACTATGATAGCTAAATCTTACACAATGTATCTTTAACTAAATGTTAAACATACATAAAGCAAGAACTACACCTGTCTATTGCGGGTCTTTTTTAGGCCTAAAATGTTATCTAAATTATTAATTAAACATTAATTAACCTATCCATACCATAATCAACTCTAGATGGCATTGCTAGCATGCGATCTTTAGTGGATTGTGAGTCGATTTACTGTATAACTTACCTTCACGATTTAACGATTAAATGGATAATCGAGACTATGCTGTTTAACGTACTGACTTTAGTAATGATGATAGAGGCTAGGCGGATATTTCTATGCTTAGTTCTTGGTTCATAGCTGATCAATTTGAATGAAATTTTCAGCAAATTCCCTTTACATTATCTCGTTTTTAACTATTATAGTGAGAACTGCCAACTCGTTATCTAATCTTCCATCGTGTATCTTTAATTAATCAGTCTGAGTACTTTAAAGTGTTAATGCTGTGTTTCCAGATTAACTCCAGGGGAACCTGCTGGAGCTATTGCATCTTCAGCTGAAGACATGTCAAAATGGATCCAATTTATCCTAAACAAGGGTAATTTGACTGACGGTCAGATGGTTGCTAATTGGACAATATATAAAGAAGCTTTCCAAGCTCACAATGTTTATTCATCAAGTCTGGAGAAACCCACATTTCCAGTTGCTGATGTAAATGAGGGCTATGGTTACGGATGGTTTCATGGCAACCATGATGGTGAGGAGATTTTACTATTAGTAATAGCAGCTTATTAATGTTAGTAATAATATTACCGGGGGGTAGATGGTCTAGAGTATCGCTCCGTGAGCTCCAAATGGCCGGACACCTCTGGCTTGCTGACGTGATTTCAATCCTAAGGTGTGGGCGTATGTGGCTCTTACAATCCCTGCGCATGCACTGAATACATTAAATTAGGACAACTTGTCTTGGATATCACCCGCGTTGGAGAGAGAGAGAGAGAGAGAGAGAGAGAGAGAGAGAGAGAGAGAGAGAGAGAAATGGGGTTTAACGTCCACTCGACACAAACTAGGTCATTTTGGGACTAACATAATTTTATGGTTTAATATTATTTCAATAATTCGCTTGCGCATAGGGGTCTTTAGCAGTGGGAGGAAACCGGAGGACCCGGAGAAAAGCCACGAGGTTGGACAGGCGACCCTACTCCTTGTCACGTACAACCGGGGATTCGAAACCACGCCAGTTGACTCAGTGACAGGCCTTATGATACAGCGCGCACGTGCTAACCATTAGGCCATCCAATTCCCTTCACCCGCGTTGGAAGCGAACGTTAGGTCCTTGGACCAACCTGAAATAATTGCTAAACCAGTGAATGAATAGGATTTTAAAATTGTAATTGATAACTATTTCTCAGCTTTCAAACGTTGGGGGTAACAGTCCTTGCCACAGGGGTGCCACGGTGGCTAAGTGGGTAAGACGCTGACTCGCTAGCCTGGAGGTCGCGGGTTCGCTCCCGGTGTTGGCCGAGAAAGGTCATCGAGATTTTGCGGCGTGGTTTCTCCTTGTCATTGGTGCAGGACCAAGGGCTTGGCAAGGGACAACGTATAGTCATTCCGATGGGACGAAAAACCAAGGGCCTGTGTACACATTGACGTGCATATTAAAGATCCTTTCACGGTTGGAATTCAATATAAAAGTAGGCCGTAGCGCCGCTGTCCGGGCAAAAATTCCCTCATACCACACTGTATGGCGTATCCCCATCTTCATTAATCAAGTCGGAGCAGAACATTAGGACGTTAAACCCCATTTGATTTTCATTTCATTTCTATGCAGTTGTTCAAAATGAATGAAGGGGGTGGTCTGATTCCGTATTTATATACCAGTTCTCTCCCTTGTATAGGCTTAGATTTATTAAAAGTTTAAAATATTTTGTTTAGGTTACAAGAAATTGTGGCATAGCGGAGGACTGTTTGGATATTCAGCTATGCTATGGATATTTCCGGATTTAGATATAGGTTTCTTTAGCAACATAAATGGACCCGCAGGAGCAGCCGATACATCAAAAGTGTTTACAACAATATTTCCATTTATATTTGATCTGATGATAGAGAAAGAACCTTGGTTAAATAAAACAACGGCGTGTTCATATCCCTCGCCATGGGCTCCGAAATCTCCCAGTAAAAACAACACAGATGACGTAACCAACTTGCCAGTAGATGACGTCAGTCAATTTGTAGGAGAATATGGCCACCGGTTTCTAGGAGATATACAAATTATTGCTCATGGCCAATCACTTTACTTCAATATGACGTATTTACAAGGTACTCTAAACACAACAAAAACGGCAAATGAATTCAAAATGGAAACAAATGGGCAGTTTGCTTTTCTAACCCACCCGGAAAACACCACCAAGCTTCTACCTGTTGTATTTGATACCCAGCGATCCAATCAATATCAACGTCTTACAATAACCTTCGGAGATAATAGTATATTTGAACGTGGTGTGAAATGGACGGATCCGTTACCAATAGCAACCGATGGGTGTGGCAGTTTGTTAGATAATTATTGTAAATTTCATTTATATGTAATCGTTTTGATCTGTATAACTAATCTACTGTAATTTCTTGGATTTCGTTCAGGGTGAAATTATTGAAGATATGTTGTAATGTAATTAACGACCTACTTAAATTGTTATGGAAACAAACGTTATACATACACACCCGCTCGCCCTCCCCACCCCTATATAGATCCGTTTCCTATAGCAATAGACAGGTGGGGCATTTTGTTACCTAATTTTGATACGCTCACCTGGAAATGTGGTCGTATATTGCTGTCGCCCCTTCCGTCCGTCCGTTCGTCCGTCAGTCGTCCACAATTTCTTGTGAATACTCTATAGATTACATTTATCATCTGATTGTTTTGAAATTGATATATGTTGTTTACATTAGTGAGATGAGGAAAAATTTCAATAATTCCGTTAATTTCTTCTATAGTCATTGCCCCTGTTTCACTTTGTTGCACCTTGTGAATGCTCTAACGACAAAGGGGGGTTGGATGGCTGAATGGTTAGCGTGCGCGCGCTGTATCATAAAGTCTGTCATTGAGTCGACTGGCGTGGTTTCGAATCCCCGGCTGTACGTGACAAGGAGTAGGGTCGCCTGTTCAACCTCGTCGGTTTTCTCCGGGTCCTCCGGTTTCCTCCCACTGCTAAAGACCCCTACGCGCAAGCGAATTATTGAAATAAAATTAAACCATATGTTAGTCCCGAAGTGACCTAGTTTGTGTCGAGTGGACGTTAAACCCCATTTCTCTCTCTCTCTCTCTAACGACAAAAGTATGAAATTTATATGCAGTATTTAAATTGGTGAAACAAAGAATCCTATTGAATTTTAGCAATTTTCGTTATTACATCTAGTGTTATGGCCCTTGTTTCACTTTCTTGAACCTTGTGAAGGCTCTCACGACAAAGGTGATCTTCCGATCTCTTTGAAATTTATATGCATCATTTAAATTAGTGAAGCGAAGAAGCCTATTGAATTTCAGCAATTTCCGTTAATTACTTCTAGAGTTGTGACCCTTGTGTCACTCTTTGGTCTTGTGAACGCTCGAGTTCATTCGATCGGTTTGAAATTTATATGCGTTATTTAAATTAGTAAAACGAAAAAGCCTGTCGAATTTCAACATTTTATGTAAATTACTTCCAGAGTTAAGGTCCTTGTTTCAGTTTGTAGAACCTTGTTAGCCCTCAAACAACAAAAACTATTATGCCCCCCCCCCCCCGTCTTTACCTACAGAAGACTAAATATGCGACAACCCTTGTCAACGGCTCAGACGATTTAGCTGCTGTGGGCGTATGTTTCGTTGTAGATTTCATACAAATGTAATTGTATTCACCCTCTCTCTCAGAATGAAATTCTTGAATATATTACAATGTAATAATCTATTGAAAGCCTTATATATATTTTTTTCTCAAAATGATTATATTTTTTTCTCAAAATGATCATATTTTTTCAAAATGATTATATTTTTTCAAAATGATTATATTTTTTCAAAATGATTATATTTTTTCAAAATGATTATATTTTTTCAAAATGATTATATTTTTTCAAAATGATTGAAATTTTTTTTTAAAATGATTATATTTGTTTTTAAAATGATTATATTTTTTCAAAATGATTATATTTTTTCAAAATGATTATATTTTTTTCAAAATGATTATATTTTTTTCAAAATGATTATTATTTTTTTTTTAATGAATATATATTTTCTTCAACATGATTATATTTTTTCGAAATTATTATATTTTTTTAAAAACAGGATTTTAAAACAATCAAATTTAATAAAATTCAACTTCGCAAATTGCTCAACTTTTTTTTCCAGTCATGATCAATGGCCCCCTAAACCCCCTGACCCAACCCGGAAGGCATGGAAATCAAAACACGAAATGAAATGGGATTTAACTTCCTACTGTTCTGCTCTGACTGGGCTAATGAAGAATGGCACACGCCATACAGTGTGCTATGAGGGGAAATTTTGCCAGGACAGCGGCACTACGGCCTACTCTTATATAGAGTTCCAACTGTCAAGGGATCTTTTACGAGCAAGCCAATGTGTACTCGGGACCTTAGTTAATCGTCCCATCTGAATAACTAGACGGCTGTCCTTGTCAAAGGGGGTCACGGTGGCTAAGTGGGTAAGACGCTGGCTCGCTAGCCTGGAGTTCGGGTGTTCGATCCCTGCATTGGCCGAGAAAGTTAATCCAGATTTTCCGGCGTGGTTCCCCCTTGTCAGTGATGCAGGACGGAGGGCCTGACAAGGACAGCTGTCTAGTCATTCGGATGATACGAAAACCCGAGGTCCCGTGTACACATTGGCGTGCACGTAAAAGATCCCTTGACAGTTGGAATTCGATATATGAGTAGGTCGTAGTGCCGCTGTCCGGGCAAAATTTCCCTCATTGAACACTATATGGCGTATGTCCGTCTTCATTAGCCCAGTTCGGAGCAAAACAGTAGGACGTTAAACCCCATTTCATTTCATTTTGTCCTTGCCAAGCCCTCCGTCCTGCACCACTGACAAGGAGAAACCACACAACAGGCACGGCGCATTGGATGATTGGGTTGGGGGGTGTGTGTGGGGGGGGGGGACGAATGGTTAACGCGTGCTTTTGGATCATTAGGTCTGTCATTTAGTTGAGTGGTCTGGTTTTTTCCCGCCTGTACATGAAAAGAATAATATCACCATTCCAACCTCGTGGGTTTTTTTTTTGGTTTCCTCCCACTGCTAAAGATTCTTCGCGCAAGCGAATTAATGAAAAACAATTGAACCATAATGTTAATCCCGAAATGACCTAGTTTGTGTCGTCGAGTGGAAGTTAAATCCCATTATTTTTTTCCCTTTGACCATGCCTAGAAAACAAAATCGGAATGGTATAGAAGCCTATACCTACCATTTGTAATTTCTACTTTTCGCCCCTTCAAAACACGAAAAGTCGAAAAGTAGAAGTTACGACAAAGCCCAAAAGCGACTCGAAAATAGGAAATTAAGAAATATTACACCGCGTTTTAACAGCACCCCTCGTTTTTTCCTAATTTCTTATTTTCGACTTTCATTTTGGTACACAAGCCA